CCCGGGAACTCGGGCTCGCGCCGCCGCACCGGTGACAGGCTAATGAACGCTACCCTGCGCGGCTCCGCCATCCCCACTGTTCTGGCCCTCCGCTCTCGCTCCGGCCGGCGCTCGCTTCCTCGCCGTGCTGCGCGCGACCCGGCCGCCCTTCCGCTTGCTCTCCGTCGCTCTTCTTCCCTCCTCCACCCTCAGCCGTCTCCGCCGGCGCCACCGTGAGTGCAGACCGTGTCCCCTTCCCCGCTACTATGTTCTGGTGGGCTCCACCGCCATCGCTAGGGTCGCCGCAGCCGCCATGTTGGAACCCCCACATAAATAGAAGCAGGCCGCTGAGCGGGCGCATGCGCACACCGGAGACGCTCGCGTCCACAGTCGTGGCTGTTGCTCAGTTTTCCTCTTTTCCTCTCTACAGCCTGGAGTCCAGGCCGGCCGGCGGAAGTGACGTCACGCCACGGGCTGTTACTGTGGAAACGGAGACGCCGTCTGCGCCTTTTTTTTTTTTCCCGCGAGGGAGGGGTCTGGGGTTTCCCGTGTGGCTTCCTATTGGCACCCGGAAGCCGGGGCGCGCCACCGGCTCTCCCGGGCGAGCCGGGAGATGTGCCTGGGACCAACCTATGCATGGCTCCCGGTCCCGCCCTGCGTTTGCCCTCCGCTCCCTAGAACTTCGCAGGGACTTGACTGTTCCAGGCGGACGCCCGGAAAGGGAAGAGGATCCAGTAGATGCGCGGTCGTGTCTGGCTGGCTGCAGCCAGGCTGGCCCCCAGGCCTCCCCTGGCCTCGCCGGCCTCCTCCCGCCTCCCCTTCGAGACCCACGCCGGTGTTGGTGTAGCTCGCCCGGCCGCCATGGGCACCGTTTGTAAAATGCACAGTAACGCGCCCGAGTTGAAAACTTGAACAAGCAAATAAACGGTTCCGAATGTATGCGTAAGGCCCAACCTGTTGAAAGCAATGGAATCCGAACTTCGTTGGAGGATTTGATGGAGTTTTAGAGGATTTGTCCCTGAAAGGGTAAATGATCCTTCTCACGGTGGTGGGGAGGAGCGTACCTGTGCTACAGGAAATTCCGACTTTGCCGTTGAGAATTACTAGCCATTTGAATGCATTGACAGTAAATTGAAGGCTACTCCATCCACATCCTCAAGGGAACCCAAGCCTCCTGTAAGTCGCATTTAACTACAGTAACTCTTGAGGACTCTGAGTTAGTGACGTCAGAGACATTTTTAGTAGGTTCAGAGTTTTTTTTGCCAAGGTTTTGTACCAAAGAGGCAATGATGATTTCGAAGTCATCCTAGCTCTCTAAGGTTAATATTATTCCCCCATGGCATCACATTTTAGCCCCATCTTCCTTTCCCAGGCTCCTGATTCCTAGTGGGATCGATCTTTGGACTGGCAGACCAGCACCTAGGTGACCTTGCCCTCAGACTCTCCTATTCCATCAGTCTGACCATGTGGTCGTTGTAAAATGCTTCTAAAAACACATTTGTTATATCATTCTCTATCTAAGCTAGAATTTACATGCAAAGTAAAGTCTTCCACACGAACCCAGACAATACAGACTGATGTCCAGGGGACTAAACCATTCTGTGGGGCTGTCACTCTGCCAACATTATCTTCTGTTATCTTCTAGCACAATGGGGTGTTTTTCCAACTTTATGAAATAGAATCCCTTTATGAAATAGATTCGGCGTTGCAAACCAGTGTACACACATGTACCTAGTAGAAATACAAGTTTCTTAATATTTACCTGTGTAGGAGGTTAGAAAAAATTTTTTATAATACAATGTAGAAACAAATCATCTTTACCTTCTGCTCCAGTACCAGAAAGTTGGGGTGTGAGCCGAGTTTTCCAGAACTCCCTGAAAGAGGGACAGGATCTTGCAGAGCCACAGATGTGCCTGGAAAAACACAATACCCAGGGAGGAAAGGAAATAGCAGTATCATCTTGTAAATGGTAGATGGTGTGTCTGTGAACTATATTTTTGTTGTTACATATATCTGGCACAAATGTTACTCGAAGTAGTAGATTCTAATGTTCTGTGGTAACCAACTGATATGTTATCACCAAGTAGTTTCTTATTTGTCAGTCTGATAATTTATTTTGTCACCAAAAAGCTTATAAACCATATCCATCAATGCTGGATAAGGAAGAGTTCTTAGTGTGATCCATTATTTCTTTTGCCACATCAGTAAGCAACTAAATGCAAAGATTGTCCTTTATAGGATTTGTAGACTAGTGAGATTTGTTTTTTAGGCCCTAGTGGCTGTCTCAGAGCTTTTGTGCTTAAGGCTAACATTCTACCACTTGGAGTCACAGCACCATTTCCAGTTTTCTGGTGGTTAATTGGAGGTAAGAGTCTCACACACTTCCTTGCTCAAGCTGGCTTCAAACCACATCTTCAGATCTTAGCCTCCTGAATAGCTAGGATTTCAAGAGCAAGCCACCATTGCCCAGCCTGAAGTTGTTGGGTTTTTTTTTGGGGGGGGGTGGTCTTGAGGCTTGATCTTAGGGTCTAGGCACTGACCCTCAGCTCTTCAGCTCAAGGCCAGTGCTCTACCACTTGAGCCACAGTGCCATTTCTAGTTTTCTGGTGGTTTATTGGAGATAAGAGTCTCATGGACTTTCCTGCCTGGGCTGGCTTTGAACTATAATCCTCAGATCTCAGCCTCCTGAGTAGCTAGGATTATTATGCCAATACTTTACATCTCTTCTAGAACCTTATTGGCAAGGTAATTTATAGTTTCAGATGTCCTTTTAATTTTACAAGCTTCCATTTACATGGAAACATTATTTTCTTTTTTTTTTTTTTTGTCAGTCGTGGGGCCTGAACTCTGGGCCTGGGCACTGTCCCTCAGCTCTTCAGTTCAAAGCTAATGCTCTACCACTTGAGCCACCATGCCACTTCTGGCTTTTTCTGCTTACGTGGTGCTAAGGAATCGAACCCAAAGCCTCATGCATGCGAGGCAAGCACTCTACCACTGAGCCACCTTCCCAGCCCCATTATTTTCCTTTTTACAATGAGCTGTAATGTCAGTGTTTACTGATCAGAGTGAACGTTTTCTCCATATTTGTTGTTTTAGATCCAGCAGCTAAACTCAGACATGCTTCAGTATTTTTCACTTTTTTATTCCTCAGCTAATAAAACAACTTTTTGCAGCAGTAGAATTCAATAAACATTATATTGAACTATACAACTTGTGAGTGGGGATGGGAGGAAAAATGTGGGAGAGAGCAAGGGAAGGGGTGATATTGTCCAGAAAGGAATGTACTCTTTACCTGACAAATGTAACTGCAACTCCTCTGGACATCACAAAATAAATTGGGGGAAAAAACAACTTTTGAGACTCATTTGGATCAACTTCAGTAATACATCATAACCAACACATGTATATCGTCCGATGACATTCCTTTTCCCCTCCCAGAGTTCTTCACTAGAACTCAATTGAAAGTTCTGAGTTTTCTATCAATAAATAAAATTCCTATGTACTTCATTTTCTAATACTTTAAGGAGTATTACATTTTACAATGGTCTCTGACAAGCAAATAAACAGGAATTCCAGTGGAGTTGCTTCTTCCTGCCTGACTGGAGCCCAGATCTTTACCAACAGTTCAACTGTAGCAGTTCCAGATAAAGATTAGCATGGTGCATTTTGATACTTTCTAGTAGCGGGGGTCATCAGCTAATTGTATCCATGAACTCTGCGGCCATGAGAGCACAAAGATGATGGCTGGATTTGGCCAAGGGTCTTTCTTGGTGACCCTGATGAACTTGAAAAAAAATCTTTTTACTCCAGGAAACTAAGCTTGAACTCAGGGTCTTTTTTGCTTAAGGTTAGCCCTCTCTACCACTTACTTGAGCCACAGCTCAAGTTTAGGCTTTTTATTAACTGGAAATAAGAGTCTCAGACATTACTGCTCTGGGTGGCTTTGAACAGAAACCCTCAGCCTCCTGAGGAGCTAGGATTTCAGCCAAGAGCAGTTAGTTAATCTTAATTGTCAATTGATTGGATTGAGAAGCATCAAGGAGATTAAGTCACACTTCTGAGTCTGTCCCAGAGACAGAAACTATTTCCAGAGAGGATTAACTTGTGAAGAAAGACTCACCCTCAATGTGGGGCAGGTCCCCTAGGCTGGAGCCCAAACAGAATGAAAGGGGGAAAGGAGAGAGCCTACTTAGTACAGGCCTTCATTCCCTCACTCTCTCCATCTCCTCCCTTTCTCTCTCTCTCTTCCTACCTCCTCTCTTCTGTCCTCTTCTCTCCCTTTTACCCTTCATCTTTTTGTCTTTCCTCTTCCTCCTCTCTCTCTTTTTCTTTCTCTCTCTCCCTCTCTCCCCTTCCTATGTCAGCTGCATGCCTTTCTTACCAAAATAAATCCTTGCTTCCTTAAAATGTCTTTTCATATACTTGATCACAGTGATAAAAACTTTAAAACACACACATAGCCTGAGTAGAATCCCATTCCTTTGTTTTGGGACAGTTCTATACCCAGACCAATCAGCAAGGTGAGAAAGGGTTGAATTTAGGAACTTCTGGTGAGGAACCTGGTAGCCAGTGTACCTGATGTCTACACTGTAAGATG